AGTCCAGTAGCCCATAATAGTATTGGGTCTTCCGCTTGACTGGGAATGTCAGAAATTGTTGACCTGAGTCCCCTACAGCTCAACATAACAGCATGACTTTAGTTCTTATATTTCGTTTTTATACTTTTCTGCTGGATGGTTAAGACCAAGGTAAAGCAGGACCTGTGCAACAAGAGTTGTAGCTTTTGGGTCTGATAAGGTGAGTGAAATCCCCTCAGGATTTATCCTGAGATCCTGTACCTCAGACTGTAGAACCTTTGTCAGTATCAGCCATGTGGATGAGTCATGGCCATTGCTTGGCCAGTGTGTTCTCTGTGAAAGCCTGAGAGAGTGTTTTCTCTCCATGTGACTCTCCCCAGGCACACTCTACATCAGTGTGTAGTGTTCTTAACAAAATACATGTTTTACAATTTTCTTCCCTCCAAAGGATTGAAGGTGTAAGTCGGTGGTAGAGCATGACCTCAGCGTGTGCTGAGCCCTGGGTTTTGTCCCAGCACCAAACCAGACCAGACCAGATCAGACCAGACCAAACCAAACCAAACCAGATCAGACCAGACCAGACCAAACCAAGCCAAACCTATTGAATCTTCTGTGGGCTTGGCTCTAGTCTAGGTGACAGAAGGTACTCAATGAAAGAAATAACGTCCTTGCATGCATGAATTTTGGTTAGAGATTCTGGTTAGAGACTGACAGTATCCCGATAAGCTTCATCTGTTGGTGAGCCTGGCTCAATTTTCAGACATAAATGTAAAGAGGGATGAGTGTTCACTTATTTTCCTCTTGTCAGTTACTTGCCTGGGTGTAACTTCACTTCCAGAGTTAAAGACAACATTTGGCCTGGAGGTCCTCTGTGACAGAGGTGCTCTTCTCTGGGCTCTCGGGCCCGACGGCTGTAGGTGCCCTCCGGGGCTGCACAGTGAGTGAGCCGCAGAGGACTCTGGAGCTCAGAGTCGCTCACTCCCCATGGTGGCCCGGTCTCCGTGTTAGAATCTCAGTTCTGTTGCGCAGGCTGGCAAGCCTGTGACGAACCCAAAGCAAGGCTGCAGCTTCCTGGGAGAGCAGCCAGGGGTTTGGGCACACCTGCTGGAGACAGCAAAATGCACAGGGGCAAACGGCGTAGAGGCCGCGAAGCACAGCCTGGCCAGAGGGCTCAACCAGCATAAGCTGAGCTCCAGCCAAGGGTACCACAGCTACTTCATGGCCACCCTGCTCCACTGAGGTGGACTCTGTCTTCCCAACTCACAGTGTTTGGCCTAAGCACAGTGTGGTGGATGCCAGCTGGTGGTCAGCTTGAACCCAGCTGAACCCAACCAGCATGGTGGTGTTGAACCCACTTGAGGGCTGAACCCACCTGAGGGTTGTTGCTGGCAGCGTAAGAGGTGGAAGCAGCCTAAGGGATAGGAGTTTAGAAGCTATTGGGAGCTGTAGGGTGCTGCTGGTTTTCCTGGAGGAGCTCGTCACGTTGACTTTCCTGATGGGAACTCAGCTTTCCTCAGTGTCGAAGGAGCTCAGGACCGCACTGCTGCGGAGGATGGTAGCTTTCAGGGGAGCTCCTGCTCTTACTTGGAGCATCGCCTCCCGGCTCCAGTGCAGCTCCACCAGGCCGCTGGCACACGTCCTTCATCCTGCTCCAGTGCAGCTCCATCAGCCCGCTGCACACGTCCTTCATCCTGCTCCAGTGCAGCTCC